TCTACCCTTGAGTGTTTAATTAAGCGCTTTAATCAGGTTTTTTTTTGAACCACAAGATCAAATTTGATCAATGACTAAGATTTGGTCCCTATGTCTCACAAAATATAGGTGGTCTCAAATGAACCTCTGCCTATATATATATATATATATATATATATATATATATATATATATATATATATATATATCTTTATACCTTAATAAGCATTTAGCATGTTTTGCTGAATTTTAAGAGGTACAACCATTCATACAATATGTACAATAACTTTATGCTATGTGGTCAACAAAAGTTTTAAACGATGGCTATTGAGTCGGTCCCCATTCCTTATCCAGGCCAACAACCTACCCCGACCTTTCTTCCGCAATGCTATCATTTGTTAATGTTTTTCACCATTTATATAACCCTCCCCCACCTCTCCTCTTCTCTATTTCACTCCTATCTCACCTTTATCTCTGTTGATCTTCTTCGCCTTTCATTCTACCACCTACACCGGTCACGGCCACCGCAGAAAACCCAACATATCACTCTCTCTTACTCTAGAAAACAAAAACCATGTCACTCATCAAAATTTGTTTTTTTGGTTTAACAGTTACTGAGGGCCGACACCACCAACATCAGTCACTACCACCGCCTCCACTCCCACGATGTCTTCAACAACATCCATGGTAAACACCTCAACATTCACCACCATCGAACAACCACCACCTGCTCACTTCTCCCTGGTACTGTCCCTTCTGAACCTTAAAGTTTAACCCTCAAATTTCTCTTATTTTATCTCTTAATCATTTTATTTAGGGTTTTGGTTGTGGCTGCCTTCGACCTTCTCTTCGTTTATCTCTAAATAGAGACTTCTAATGGATGTGTATTGAGCAATTGATCAAGAAGCAAGAGGAATCTATTTCACGAACAATGGATTCAGAAGGATTAAAAGAAATATGTCTCAAAGTAGGAGGTAAGTATTCTAACCAGTGTTATTTTTATCGATTGATCATAATTAGAGGTTTTCTGGACCCCATACCTCGAGTTGTGTGTACACTGATCCATCATTGTTACCCATCCCCTTCCTCAAAAGCTCAATCAACATCTCACTCTCTCTAACCCTAGACATCGTGAGGCTAAAGTTATCCCCAGTGAATCCCTATTCATTCTTTTACAGAATCAATCACAAATCCTTTTTTTTAATCTAACTCTCAAAGGAAAAAAAAGATTTGTTCATCAATTTGTATTCATCTTTATCGTATGAACCTAACAGCTTGAATTTACCTTCACATATGACTGATTTGTTGTCGATTTAAAGTTTATTTTTAGTTTTTGATTTTTCTAGGTTTTATTTTGATTGTGTATGGATTTGAACGATTCCAGAACTTTGATTCGAATTGCAGCTTTAGGCTTTCTTTCAAAATTTTGCTTCATGAGGTCTCAACAGCAGTTGGAACATTTGGGTTTGATTTGTAGGTATATGTTTTATTTCAAACTATCTATATAGGATTTGTTTAACTCTCTATGTGTGTGTTTTACAGTCCATTTTCCGGTTTTGGATTTGGAGGAAAATGAATTTTACAAGGAACATGTATCACCGGACACTTTTAGATGACTTTTGGAATGGGAAACTATTAGGATTTTGTTCAATGGTTGTTTGAGCCCTCTAGGATTTCAGTGTTTTCTTTTGCGGTCAAACACAAAGAAAAAAAATAGACCCCAGTATGGTTCATGTGTATGACATCTTTTGCTGATTTATCTTGATCTTTTTATGCTTCAGGTCTTTGGGTCTTCTTTATGCTTCAGGTTGTGTTGGTTCCTCTGGTTATATGTTTCTTCATTTGGTTACCGTTAATGGGTTAGACCATGCCATATGAATATCTTAATTTTGAGGATGTCGTTCATGTTTATCTATTCAATTGCTTTCCATAAACTACTAATGGAGGTTTCGGAAGTTTATTTTTTTTCCTTTCATTAAACTTTGTTTCATAGACTATAAGAAAGATTGTTTCAAATATATATATGCACAATTTCAAACTAAAAGTTTGTTTCAAATTTCACTGACATTTAGAGGTGTTTGTCATATGCAGGTATCGTTACTTTTCGAAGAACTAATTTTTCTTTGAAAAGAGTTATGAACTGTCTTTTAAGATCTTCAAGTATATCATGTTATAATTTTTATTTCTTTTATATTTTTGGATCACTAAGAAATGTTTTTTGTTGCAGTAAATACGCCTCAGCTTTCTTGGGCTAAGTTGAAAAAAAAGCGATGGAGCAATAGTTGAGGTTTTTACAGCTATATGGTAATGGAAATGCTTTAACTTTGGTTTAATGGTTTTGAAGAAGCTGCTAACTCAGTTATCATAGGAGAAAGGGTGGGCAGAGGGAATTACTTTTAAAAAAGCATGATACATTATTGATTTTTTTCTTTATGTTATATCTATATCACTATATTTAAGTAATTTATATATTTTTTTTATATTATATATGTATTTAAGTAATTTGTATGTTAAGTTATTTTTTTTATGTTGATATATGTCGGCTATTACTCTGCACATGTTTAGCCAGTTTAGGTATAAAAAAGTTTTTTTTTTGCTTGTGACTCCTAACTTTTTTACATATTTATCCTCATTTACCTTTTGTTTTTGTGTAACAATCTATTTATATGGCAGAACATGAAAGGATTTTCAATATTGGTTGGTAGTATTTCCCTTATGCATTTAGTGAAACTGGTCAACCTTAGGGCATGTATGTTGGTCACATCAATTATTTTTTATTACCCTGATTAGGGGATTGCTCATGAAACAGTATCTTAGTGATTATCATGACTTCTTTAAGTTTGTTTCATTTTGGTATGAATTGAAATAATGCTCTGTTACTCTAATCTAGGTAAAAAAAAATGCTTGGTTTGAAGATAATTAAAGAGGAGAATGTTGTAAAAGATCCAAAAAAGAAAAATAGCAGAGTTAAAGTAAAGAAAATGAAGATGCTATCAAGGAAAGGAAAGATGAGATTCAAAATATAAACGAGATAAAAAATGCAAGTGAAGAGAGTCAAGAAACCGTTAAGAGAGATAAAATTAAGAATGAAGACATCACTGGAGAATATAATGAATGTTAAGAAACTATATTTGAAAATGAATATAAACACAATGCAAGGTCTCATATGCATCTTTCATAATTTTACATACAATTAATGTCTTCATATTGATCTCATAGAGTCAACAATCCTTGCAAGAAGGGGCATACTTATTTTACAACTACATGATTAATATTGTAAAAATACATTACATTTTCAGGTAACCTTTTTGTCAAAGGAGCTAATACCACTTGAATTTACAGGAACGATTAAGTTTGGAAATATGAGTTATATCTCTTTATGGTGGCTTTTTTAGACAAATAATATAAATTTTAAGATACAAGTGTGTTATGATCAAGGTTATTGTTACTCGGGTGTTGCAACCTGTGATTCATGATATATGTTGCTCTACTCTCTTTAACCCAGTAGGATTACATGTTTTACTTCTTTTTCAATGCTACATAGTTATGTAATCGTTAAGTCTTATTATGAAACTTAGTAGCCAAAACATTTTTGGTTATTGTCTCGATATATTAATGCTATAATTTGTAATCATTGGCATGTATTTTAATCATTTGTAACCAAAACATTTTTTGTTACTATCCTTGATATATTCTAATGATGTTTTCAAACTAAGGTGTATTGGCTTGGATTCCGATCAGACTAAAATGAAACCAAAGCATAATAGACTATTATTAATATTTACTATAAAACAATTATTATTTCGTAAGATGTATCATATTAAACTATTTTTGTAACAAATTATTTTGTCAAACAATTTGTAAAATACCATTGATTTGCAAAATTCTTACTAATTAGCGAATCTATTTAAAAGTGGGAAGATGCAAAAGAAGTTTGTTTATGTGTTCTATACTTAAATGTGTCAAAAATGGAAATAAAAAAAAGGAGAAAAATGATATCTAAAAAAAGAAACAAATTAATTTAAGAAAATTTGACGAACATCATACATGCTTAATCGGTGCTATGAGATTCTTAATGTCATCTCAAATTTCCAAAATAAATTTTTAAATGATTTGCAATATTTAAAACATCCCATAAAAATTAGATTTAATTTTTAATTTTCGTATCATAAATATTAAATAAGTAGAATGTGGTTTTGGAAAATTAGAATTTTGAAGTAATTAAGTAGCTTTTTTTAATTCTCAAATGGATTTTGTATCAGTATCCAATAGATATGTAAAAGTTTTTAGCACAAAGTCATTAATACTGAAATAGTTGTTGGTCAACATGTTGAAAATAAGATATTTTTGCTAATGATTCCTCTATATCCATTTGAAGATCGTATGTTTCCATTTAAGCTGAAAAGAAAACAATTTTCAATTCGATTATGTTTTATGATCATAGACACACAATTCCAAATTTAAGTATTTATCTTCCAAAATTGGTTTTCTAACATGGCCAACTTTATATGACATTATCCAAAGGGATATCACGTGTCAACACAAAAGTATTAGTGAAGTTTGACAAACAATTCATAAACAGTGAATTATATACATCAAATGTGGTGTATAAAGAAGTCTTGTACGATTAATAATGTAGAATCGATCATGTGTCCATATGCATTTTTAAAGAATCCCAACTTTTTATTTTTACATAATACTGATTTTGTTTTTGCTAACATTACTGTTATTGATAATTTTTTATATGTATTAAACTATTTGAGCAAAAGAACTAATCGTCTCAACATTGATTTCTGAATAAAATATTTGCACCCGACGCTTGGCGTGGGTAAACGGCTAGTGTATATATATATATATATATATATATATATATATATAACATAATAACTATAAAAACAAATTATTATTATTATTAAACCTTTAATCAAATAGTTATTTGTACAAGATAAAACAAGGGTTATTTTTTAGTAACCATTACTTGAATTTATCGCTGTTTTTTCAAATTATTTAATCTGGTGGACGTGAGGTCGTCACGTCCAACGACACACACTAACGGTTACTAGTACCATCGATGTCGCAATCGTAACGTCGACGATAACGCCTTTACATTCCATTCCATTTACACTCCGGCAGCGTTGCTATTAATCTTAACCTTCTATTCTCTCTGTATCTAAAGAGTTATGGCGGAAAAGCTTATGCATGCGGTTCAGTGCGATTCCTATGGAGGAGGTGCTTCTGGTCTTAAGGTATACTTCTTGTTGATCCTCCTTTTTATCTGATCACTCAATTCGTATGAACTCCTGTTAGTAGATTGTGGTCATTGTGTACTATTTGAGTGCCGATTGATTTCAAACCCCAGATAGAAAGAGGAAGTTAGTTTTCGCTTCAGATGGTTATGGATATATTGAATTATAAATTAATACTTGATTAAACTGATTTTCGTTTCAGTTTAATTGATCATCCAATTCATATGAACGTTGTAAGCAATTTATTGTTATACACCGTTATATTGGAAAAGCCTTGGATTATGGTCTATGGAGTAAGAGGCTTAACTGTTTCTGTTTTGTATACTGCATATATTAAATTAAATTGAAGTGATATGTTTTCAATTTTACTGATCAATCAATATAAGCCTCTCTGGTACTAAATTGTTATTTGCAATATAGAGTGTTGATTGATTATGAAACCCTAGATATCAAGTGAAGTGAAAGTTACATTTGTTTCACATGATTGTAAAACGTGAAACATCTGAGAGTATGTTGATGCAGTCTTCCTTTTGTTTTTGTAGCATGTTGAAGTTCCTATTCCTAAGCCAAGTAAAGGTGAACTTCTGTTAAAATTGGAGGCAACTAGCCTAAATCCAGTCGATTGGAAGATACAAAAAGGCATGTTACGCCCCCTTTTACCACTCAAATTCCCTTGGATTCCAGGTATGTATGTAGTAAAATCAATTATGTTATAATTGTTTTTACAAATTGCACAAACACCTTATCTCAGAATATATGATTTCAAAATCTAAAAACGTGTATGTCTTTGTTACAACAGCCACTGATGTAGCAGGAGAAGTATTAGATGTTGGACCTGGAGTACAAAATTTCAAAATTGGTGATAAAGTTGTCTCCATGCTCAACACTTTTGTAAGTTTCTCAGTTCTTGCTCATCGGTGTTCATCTTTGTGAAATTGGTATTTATTGATCACTGAAACCTAACAGAAAGGTGGAGGACTGTCGGAATATGCAGTGAGTAGCGAAAAACTGACAGTTTCTAGACCGCCGGAGGTATCGGCGGCAGAAGGTGCCGGGCTACCTGTCGCCGGACTAACCGCCCTCCAAGCCCTCACCTATCACGGCGGTATCACCCTCGACAAAACCAGCCCCAGCCCCGCCACCAACATCCTCATCACCGCCGCGTCAGGCGGCGTAGGCCAATACGCCGTCCAGCTTGCAAAGCTAGGAAATGTCCACGTCACCGCCACATGTGGGGCCCGCAACATCGACCTTGTGAAATCCCTAGGTGCTGATGAGGTTCTCGACTACAAAACCCCAGAAGGTGCGATGCTCAAAAGCCCTTCGGATAAGAAATATGACGTGGCGATCCACTGTGCGACACCTATTCCATGGTCTACTTTTGAGCCCAATCTTGGCCCAAAAGGAAAGGTGATAGACATAACACCTGGCATGAGTGCAATTTGGACTTCTTTTGTGAAGAAAGTGACGTGTTCAAAAAAACAGTTGGTGCCGATTCTTTTGTATCCGAAGGCAAAGAACTTGGAGTACTTGGTTGGGTTGGTGAAGGAAGGGAAGGTTAAAACTGTCATTGACTCAAAACACCCTTTGAAAAAGGCTGAAGAGGCTTGGGCTAAAAGCATCGATGGACATGCTACTGGTAAAATTATCGTTGAGCCATAAGAGATATCATATATTCATATCATATGATTTGTAAATTGTAAAATGATCGTAACTTTTGATTTGATTATCGTGTTCATATCTAGATGTCACTCTTCGTTGTACTTGTTGACTATTTTTTTCTACATTTGGAGAATCTACAAAATATATATATATATATATATATATATATATATATATATATATATATATATATATATATAACAATTAAATGTGATTTTTGTATCATCAGATTATAATGGACAAGTTAACATATTCATATATGGTAGTGCTAGCGGTGTAAACATATACATGAAGACAGGAGAAACTATTTTTTTTATACATAATTTATCATTAGAATCCCTCTAATTGTTTGAAAATTGTTATTTATGATTGGATGTTGTATGTAAATGTTTATTTGACATCTATGTCGTTAAGTTGGATCTAATAGGTAAATATAGACTTATATTCGATGAACCATCTATCTCATTATGATCGGATATTGTAGGTACTTTGTTGGTAATTGATGTTACATTTGGTTTATATTTGTAAGTGATTTTATATTGTAGGTACATGATGAATCATGGATCTAACTTATTTGTTGGTAATTGATTTTACATTTTGTTTATATTTGTAAGTAAGTGGTTTTACATGTGAGATACCACTCATTTGTAGGTTCTAGATTAACTCAATTCTCAAAGAAAAAAAAAACAATTTTTCTTTGACTTCTTTAAAAACAAAAACAAAATGTTATAGATGGAAGAATGATCCAAGAGGACAAACCAAAATTGTATGTAAAACGGCTTACCTTAGAGTTAGACCACAACCTAAAACTTCTTCAAGGGTTATCTTCAGTCCAAAATGTTATGATTCTATAGGGTAGGCCATAATCGCATGGAATTTCAAATGAGTTAGATGGCTTACACATTGAATATAGGTATATAATTACATATTAGATCAATCACAACCATATGTCAAATTAGTATTTACTTACAATACATGATTGTATTTTAAACAACCGAAGAGAGTTTAATTATAAATTATGTATAAAAAACAGTTTGGGGATTAAATATATACATGAGACGTAGTACATTATCTTCTCAAGTCATTTACGTTATCTACGTAATTAATATTTTCAAATAAAATCATGTATAAATTTAATGACTAAATATATATACGGGACATAATATATTTGTATTTTTAAGTCATTAACCCTATAAACAAACACCCGTATAATTTTTTTTTTAGGACTTGAATCATCAACCTCAAAGAGAAAGGGTACTACCTGATACTGCTAGACTAAAAACCTTTTAACTAGTATATATTTTTATCATAACTAAATACATGATAAGACCGGTCCAAAAAATAGTATATAAAAACCAAAAAAATATTTTATAAAAAAAGTATACAATTTATTATTATATGCATATGTAACGATACCGTATTGTGTGTGTATATAAATCGTTTGTGTGTGTTTTCTTATTTTCGGATCTTTTAAATTTAGCCAACACGTTTGCTTGTTATATTCATTAATAATCCCCTTTAGCTGTAAATATACCATTAGGCGAAGGGTGTTTTCGTAATTAACTTGACTTGTTGTATACTTTTTCACAACCAATCAAATATTTTTTGTTTTTAAATTTAATATTTAATGCCTCATTAAATAATATAAAATCAATTGAATATGATAAAGTATATTACCGGTAGACCCTGAACATGGGGTATACTGTAAAAATCGGTCCCTCATATTTCGGTTTTAACAACTTTACCGCAAGATTCATCTTTTTGAACTTTTTTGACCCATCATTTTCGAGACTAACCTTCCACTATCTAGTTATTGTATTTTTAATTTTATTACAATTATACTTTTACATTATTTTTGTTAAAATGCTTAAGTTTTAAAAGGGAAAAAACTATATGATTTTATTATTATTTGCATCTTAATTTATTTATCATCATTTTTGGTGTTTGATAAATAACACTATTGTTTGTTTCACAACAAAGTTAGATATAAATATATAACTATCAGAAACAAGAACTCTTTTATTATTATTTTTATTATTATTATTATTGAAGATTACTTGCAAATAAAAATTTAGATACTGCATTTGGATTAAAATGAAATTATGGTGATCCGAAAAAATATATTATTTTCATGTGCTAAATGTTAACAAGTTGGGAATGGAAAATTTGATACATGCTCCCCATGTTATAATTACAAATATGGCCATAAACATACATGTTGCATGCACATGATTAGGGATGAGAGTGAGTCCAAACCCGGACCCGGAAAATCCGGGAACCGGTTAACGAGATTTTTTAGGACCGGAAACCGGACCGATATATAGGAACCGGTTTCGGGTAAGGTACCGGGTAAAGTGGGTCTAGAACCGGAAAACCCAGAAATATCAAAGTGGGTCGAATGGAACCGGGTAAAGTGGGTTTAAAACCGAAAAACCCGGGGAACCGGGTAAAGTGGGTCGAATGCATGTTTTAAAATTTCACAAAATACAAAAATAAAGCTGAGAAAAAAAAATTCGCAGCTTTGATAACCCAACTTTAGGAGACTATAAATCAATGAATATGAAACAAAAAATGACAAAATTATAGTCTAAAATCATGTACAAACTCTATACTACACTTTGGAAAAAACCGCATGCTATTCCGACTTCAAACGAATTAAATATGCATGTTTTAAATCTATCATGAAATACAAAGAAAGCTGAAAAACATAAAATTTTCAGCTTTGATATCCCGACTTTGAGAGACTATAAGTCAATGAATAAACACCCAAAAATAACAAAATTATAGTCTAAAATCATGTACAAACTATAAACTACACTCTGGAAAAAACCTCATGACAATCCGACTTCAAACGAATGAGATATGCATGTTTTAAAACTATCACAGAATATAAAAAAAAATGAAAAACATAAAATTTCCAGCTTTGATATCCCAACTTTGAGAGACTATAAGTCAATGAATATAAACCCAAAAATGACAAAATTATAGTCTAAAATCATGTACAAACTATAAACTATACTATGGAAAAAACCTATTGCCAATCCGACTTTAAACGAATGAGATATGCATGTTTTAAAACTATCACAAAATACAAAAAAAAACTGAAAAACATAAAATTTCCAGCTTTGATATCCCGACTTTGAGAGACTATAAGTCAATGAATATAAACCCAAAAATGAAAAAATTATAGTCTAAAATCATTTAAAAACTGTAAACTATACTATGGAAAAAACCTCATGCCAATTCGACTTCAAACGAATGAGATATGCATGTTTTAAACTTTCCATAGAAACCGGTTCCGGCCCCTAAAACCGGTTCCGGTTCCTATCACGGTTCCGGTTCTTAAACCCGGTTTACCCGGACCCGAAGGACCCGAAACTCGGATTACCCGGAACCCGAATAGAGTCATTCTTTAAACCCGGGACCCGGACCGGTTTTACATATTCCGGTTCCAGTCCGGTTTTCCGGTTCTAAATCTCATCCCTACACATGATGACCAGATACCAACAAGTTTAACAATTCAAGCCAGAAAACTTAGAAGTTTAGGGACAAATTTGTCACAATGAAATATAAAGGGGGTGTTTGGCTTTACAACAATAGTTAAAGTGGGCGAAATGTAAACGTTTCTGCAAATATTATTATTTAATTTCTTTGGGTTCATCTCCTTCGCTTCTTCTGCGGATTTGGCTGTTATATACCAACACCATTAATCCTTTCTATCTTCTCTTTGTAATTTCAACGAATTTGTTCTTGCATTGCTGATCTGAATTCTGAGTTTTCTCTAACTTTTTCTTCGAGATCTTGGGGTTATCGTTGATGGTGAGTTGGCTCTCTATTCAATTCGCATTTTCCCCAATTTTCGATCCAGTTCTTACAAGAAGTGATTAGAGGTTAAATTCTCATTTGCATTCTATTATATAAAAAAAATTAGTAATATTGGTTTGAGCCTCTCAATCAACCTTTTTCTTGTTGGTTTTGTGGACGTTCAATTTTGTTTTTCCTCCAAAATTTTTGGTGAAACTATCATGTTCATAGTATGCGATTAATATTTTAGTTTTTACTTGTAGATATTTCTCTCTGTGTGAAACTAATTGTATGAAATAGTTTTAGCTATCAGATATTATTCTCGAATGAACAGTTTGTTGTGTATTTGAATTTCTTGGCAATTACTTCACGACTACTCAAGTTTTTTATGTTATTTTTTCAAATTGGGGATTCCTTATAAATTTTCACGTTTCTCATCAAATTCTCACACAGTTTTCTGTTATGTGATTTTGCAGATAGGAAGCGTATGAACAAAACGTAGATCATACTGATTGACATGAACGAGCCTTTTCAAGTCTGTCGAATCATTAATCTACTGAAACTAGATCAGAATTATACAAACTGTAGATAGCAGCAGCGACTTTTAGATGATAACAGTTGGTTGCAGCTTGTAGAGGCTGCATCTAAGCATGTTGATTGCTTTCGAGTTGATGCTTAATCATCCTAACAGTAAAAAATGGGGTTTCTACGACACTTTTCATAGTTTTTTACACCTAATAACTAATGGTAGTCTTCAAGCAACCGAAGAACACTGTTTTAACAGTGTAGAAGCCTCTTTTTGGACCTCGGAAGTCCATTGACAAATTCATCAATTACTTGCTTCAGTGTCAATAATGGAAAGGTAAATTACTTTATATTTTCATTGTTGACGCTTTCATTCCTCTGTTATTCTTTTTTGATGTTTTCTGATGAATAATTGTTTTCAGATATAAAAGTGTAGAAGAGATTGGAGATGGAACTTGTGGAACTGTATATAAAGCCATCAACCTTGAGACATCTGAAATTGTTAGTTCTTTCAATCACTAAAAAAAGATATTTTTTAACAAAAAACTTCATATTAGTTTAGAATTTATCATATATATCACAGGTTGCAGTCAAGAAGATGAAGAGAAAGTATTATGTTTGGGAAGAATGTATGAATTTACGTGAAGTTAAGGTATTTCATGCTTCTTTTTCATCAAATCTTCTGTTTTCTCAAATTACATAAAATATAAATTGTTAATAACTTTCTTGTTTTGAATACACAG